TACATTTGCGACGGTTGATAAACTACAAGTGAGGCCTAAATTGTTGACTATTTCGCGTAGTGATCATGTCGTTTTTCGCTAGCTTCATGTATAAATAAATCCTTTTCGTGATTATCTAAAGGCTGGTGATCTTCCTGAATGTGGTTCGTTTAGAAAGCGGCGTACCGTTGTAGGGTCGCATCCGAGTATTTTTGCGATTTGAGCGGCATTTGTGGTGTCCATGTACGCCAAAATCTTCCTTTTTCAATTTCGTTAAGCTACGTATAGAGGAACACCATTTTTTAACCTAACGAAATTATAGTGTTGACGAAGTAGCAAAAAAGGGAGAAAACTTGATAAATGTATTTTTATAAAATGGTTACACACGTAAATCGGGCGATACTTTCTGTGGGTACTGTACAGTATATATCATACATGTAATTTTTAAAGCGGGTATTACTTTTTGAGTATACTTTTGGTCCAAGTCGCAATAAAATATGCAATGATCGACTAAATTCTGATATTATTCAACGAAATTAAATGGCCAACCATGTCGAATAAGTACATTGATATGCTGTGATTTTTGTCACAATAATTTTTATTCACTGTCCAATAGAAACCATCATTAAAATGAAATTTTTCCTTACTTTTAACGTTAATAGAAGTTTCTGCAAACAGGAAATCTCTTTGTTAATACACGTTCAATACTATTACAACAATTCAGATGATGTTTCTATCACAATTTATTAATGAAACTATTGAAGTATTAAATGGCACTAATATTGGATATGGGGTGTGGCAAATATACTTCATTATCAATAAACTTGAAAAGTTCATTATTTAAATTATTTGAAGTTAAAAAATATAGTAGTCAAGTATTAAAGCTAAATTTCATTAACAATTTTCTAACCTAAAGGGACTTAAATATTTAAATTAATCAAAATGCCAACAAACATACCTTTCGATCAATATTTACAAATGCACGATTTCTACGCAATATTTTTAGTAGAGATCTTTTAGCGTATTTTTCATAGCAGAGAATAAGAGGTTTGATAATTTTCTTCAATAAATGAAAATTTCATTTAAGTTTCCTTAAAACTGCTAAATGTTTTATGATTTTTCTAGAGCTTTCATCATTTCTACGTCCACAAGTTTCTAAAAGCAAACGAATTAGCAAGGTCGATTGAATTACAGACACGTGTCAATAGGCACATTATAGTGCATGCATAAAATAGAAAAATAGTGTTTTTGCGATAGAAATGGCAAATTTGACGGTCTCTATTTCATTAAATGAACAATAATCTCATATTATATTGATATGCGATGATCAATGACTTAAATACTACGAATATATGTGTCGGATATTTTTTTTTGGTTTTGCGTTATGCGACTTTAATTTTCAACTTACTATTTACGTTTAATGTTAAATAATGATTAATTCTGATAATATAATTACATGTATTAAGAAACAAAAGTTTCACGTGATTGCGTAGTGAACTTTTTATTAAAGAATTTTTTGAAGAGAAGGATCTTCCACCAGAGATTAATATGCAAAAACTCATCGGTCTCAACTGTCCGTAAGTATTTTTAAAAAAAGTAAATATATATATATACCTGTAGGATGCATATTATTAATTAATACCATATACCATTATATCTCTTAAAATTCTAAAAGTAATAAATAAGACATGGCTTCGTAAAATTGGGATTCTAATACAAAAATCTCTGGCATCATCTAGAGTATCATCATCCAAATTAAATTCAAAGAAAGTAGAAAATTCAGATCAAAGTACATTAGACGATTTTAAACTAGGTAGTGATTTTTATTATTATATTTAATATTTGTATTTTAAGTTTACAGCAGATTTGTTACCAAATAGATAATTGTTGATGATCAAACTTGAAAGTAAAATTTTCGAAGAATAGTCTTAAAACAAATACAGTTCGTGCATGTATGCGTTTGAAATCCTGGTGAGCGCAAAGAAGATATAATTAGAATTAATATATCAATTCACGATATAAATAAAATACAGTCCTGAATTTTTTATATTCATTTTAAATTGTTGGTTTTATATTTTATTATTTTTAACAAAATTCGAGTTGATCACGAGTCGATCGGATCAAACTATAGTCGGGTCGAGTGAATTCGGGTTATAAAAATGCCCCGATTCAACTCCTTCGGAGAAAATTATGAGCTCTTAGCAGCCAAAAAGAAATAGTCTTACAGTATTGAAAAAATTTTTCGTGAGAAAAGCAATGTAGATGATACGAAATCTTGTACATGTACACGTATCATGTTCTCTTAATTTAACAGGTATCGGGTATACATGTAACACAAGATTTATAATGTACAATTGCATTGTGTCTCGCACAATACATTTCATGATACATGTACATTTATCATATAAACTTGTGCTTTAAGCTAATTGCATACATGTATAACCAAAATGACAAAAATGCATTTACACAAAAATTTTATTATTCGTTTATGCATTAAAATGTGCATTTAGCTTTTTAGCTAATCAACACATTCAATTTTTTAAAACGAGATAATCTAAATTCAAGCGCAGTTTCGATGTAAATACATTTATTAAGGTATACTCATTTAAGAACAATATAACAGACATATGATATAGAACATATGGAATATCACGGACCAATAATTTGTTTGTCAAAGTATGAACTAGATTATATCAAAATAATGGAACTTTTTATCCTAATCATCAGATCCATATTGGATACAGAAGTCGTTATTTGAATAGCACTAACAGAAAGAAAACATAGAAATTAGCATTTCACATGTAATATGTATCAAATCTTTTGAAAGTCCCATTATATTAAAACAGTAGTTATGGATAATTTGCACAGCTATTTTGATTATAAGCCAGATAAAACTTGAACTTTTTAATTGATTATTAAACTTTGAGATTTAATTTCTTTATAATTAATACTTCAATTTTTATAAAATTAATATATTTTTGCTTAATACAAATCTATCTCTCTATAACGATAATATTATCAGATATTCAGACCGATTTGGTCAATATACAAAGATTTTATTATATAGAAATTAGAGTTAGGATTAGGATTAGATCTTAATATATAATCTTTCACAACTTAGAATAAATTGGTAAATATGCATTGATAATATGCATAAAATGGTTAAAATCGTGTTATTATAATAGAAATAGCAATTTTGATAGGAAATATGGAATATTTTTAATAATTATCTTTACTTCGTTACAGTATTTATATGTTCGATAAGGTTCATCATGTTATCTACTTCATTAAAAACATTTAATAATGCATTGTGTGTTCTCTATTTCATTAAAACATTTAATAGTATATGTACATGATTCTATCAATTTAAAATAAAATATAAAGATTAGAAAATTAGCCTTTAATAGCTCAAATGCAATAAAAAGTTTTTCGTGAGAAAAATAAATGTAGCTTAAGATTTTTATCATAGATGGTTATTGATAAATGCAAAGTTCTGTGGTAGATAACTAACTATGAAAGCATTCCATAATCACATAGAAATCTATTATTTTGTTGCCACACCCATGTTATAAATATTTTTTTTTGGCACCGATATGCATGTTTGTACATGTACCATAGATTAGCATTTATTAAATTTAGCTTCACGTACATGTATAACGATAATGTATAACGATAATGTATACATGTATAATGACAAAATCAGCATAATGTATAATTACATTCTACAATGCATTTGAATATACATATAACATTTTGTCAACCACAGATCGATTATCAAATTGAAGTTTCGCAAAAATTCATAAAAAGATTTATATTCATCATTTTCCCTCTTTTTCCAGAGACCAATTTTCTGAAATGGAGTCTTCTAACAAAGTAGGTTTCTTGAAGCCGGAAAATATTACTCTTAATGACTATAATAATGGTCTTTTGATGTTAACCTTTACATGTTCACTTAATTGCAACCACGAATTTCTCTTAGATTCTTTTGATGAAGAATATCGAAAAAAATTTTTCAAAAAACTTAACACAAAAGTCCCCAATAAGTTTTTATTATTTAGGACTCTATTGTCAGTTAGCATTGTAAAAGATTTACATTGTACTGAACAATCATGTCCGTTATTTAACATTCCTGATCATCTGCAGTTTATATCAAAACTTAGTTCACATATTTATAAAGACAAAATTTGTGGATATATGCTTTCTAATTATTTTAACCAATTGTACGAAGAATTAACGAAAGAAAAGTGAGTTTCAATTTGCTTTGTTTTGTAAAATTATGCAAAGATTATCTTATTAATTTAATTTCGCAATAAACAGAAAAAATAAAAGATCCGCAGCTTACCCGACTTATAATCAAAACAGCAATCGCTCATATTCTACCAGCTATCAACCGTATTCCAATGACAGTTATCAACTGATAGATCACCAAATAATTTGATGGGGATCCCATTTTCTACGGAGCCGGAAAGTTTTCTTACGGATGATGCTGTTCAGGTGACAACTCCGGTTTCCAGCATGGGATCTTCAACTTTTGATGATTATAGGTAAAACAATTCTTAATTTATCATAATAAATTTTTAATAATAGATGTAAAGGAAAAATAACATTCCTCTTCTTCCAAAACTCCTTCTGACATCACCACAAAACATAGTTTTTCATTTACGTTTCTCTAGCCGGCTTCAAAGTCAACTCAGCCAAATGGCCTATCAAAAAGTCAATTATAAAAAGAAATTATTTATTATTTTAAATTTGAAAAAGATTTCAAAATGCATATATATATTAGGCTAGTTATGTAGATTGACCAAGCAATACATGCACATATAAAAAATTTCATTTACTGAACCAAATTTCCTAATTTAGATTCTAACTTTTCTCGTAATATCACTTTCTCATCCTTGTGAGTTGCACATAATGTATATTTGTTTTCCGGATCGAGCAAAAATTTTGTGCATTCATACCGATACTGGCTATTGATAAAATTTGCGTACCACTTATTGGATCGATAACGGTCGAAATCCTGAATGAACGACATCCCAAATGAGCGACATTCCGAATGAACGTTAGCCCGAAAGATCGACATCCCAAATGAACGAATCCCGTTTTGGAATTTCGATCATTCGGGGATTTCGTACCAGAATTAATTGCAGATTAGGTTTCTGCTCCGCCGCCAAATTGCTATTCCATGATTATGGGTTATGATATTATGAAATCCTAAATACTTGTTAAATAGCACCACGAATGATGAAATCCCAAACGAATGAATGAACGGCCCGAATGCATGAAATCCAAATACATGTATCGTGATTTGGCATTCGGGATTTCGTGCATTTGAGATTTATGAATGTATGCTAATAGAATATGTTTTGTGTAAAATGGATAATTCTCTCTTTCGATCGTTGCGAGTAAAAATGAAAAGTAATATTAGTAAGATTACTAGGTAAGTTTCGGATATGATTCTAATATTGCTCGTTCAGGATTTCGTGCTTTCGGGATGCTGTTTGTTCGGGATTTCATGCATTCAGAATGTCGTTCGTTCAGATTTCGTTTATTGAGTTTATGAATATTGGGATTGTATTTGTTGGGATGTTTTACATACAATAAAATTTTAAATCTTTTTTTTATGTTTTTATTAACGATGAGAAAAACTTCACACACTGACCTAATTAGTCTAGCAATCCCGTTTGTTTACTTTCCCCATGTATATATTACAAATTCCCAACAAAAATTTTTTCGATGCTTCTCGTACACATACTACATGTACCACGCGTTCTCTCTAAAATGTCGTTTCAATGAGATCATGAACGAGTATAGAACATGCTCATTTTAAACTGATCCGATCACTTGTAATTTTCATGATACTCGCTAGGCATCTAGCCATAGCTATGTAAAGAATTATCGGGGCAAGCTGTTAAAATCTCAAGACGTCTGAGCCTCCGGCCATCCGCTAAATGATTTCGAACGCTACATAGTTTTCGCAACTACTAAAAAGATTATTTTAAAATTATTAAACCCAAATTCTCTTAAATGTACTCAAGTCCGATAGAACAGGTTTTCAGACATAACTATCTGGTTTTATACTTAGCACTTAATTTATTATCCGTGATATTTAGTATGTTCTATTTCATACGTATGCTATATCGCTCTTGAATGTGCATATCACTTTATTCTTTAAAATAATTAAAATGTACATTTTAACGTCATATTATTATCTTGTTTTGTGCAAAACTTTATGGTCGTTGTTTGTGGATTGTTGATATGATATCTGAAATTTCCTTTTTTTTTGAGTACAAGGAAAACGAAATTTAATGGTTCGCAAGTTTATATCATTTCTAATGTATATATGGGTCTTAACGTTAATGGAACTTTCATTGTTAAAATAATTTGTACTTAGCGTTAAAAAACAAAGATTCTTTGTTAACTTACCAAATTTAGAACTATTTACAGAGCAACTCTCCTTTTGTTTAATATATGCATATTGATCGGTAAACTTTTAAACAAACTCCTTATAGTAATAGCAATCACTTCGGTTCGTTTAATCACCATAAACATGTGCCACATAATATTTAAATCAATTTATTTTATGTAACCAATCTAAATCGCCATTTTATCCGCATCATTCTAAAAATTCATCTTAAATAAAATATGATACGTGACTAGTGAACTTCCATTTCTTCTATTTTCAAATAACCTAATTTATGGCACTCATTTAATTTAATTTGTATTAATCGATCTGTAGAAAGTTTGCATACTCAAAAAAATAAGAAAATTATTAATTTTTTCAATTATTACTGTATATCTGAAACTACGAAACTTTAGTTTTTATATAGTTATTTGAAATTAGTTTAAATTTAATCCCCGTAATAAAAAGTTATAAATTGCTTGCAATAGATGGATAATGTATGAAGTTTCAATAGTAATAAAATGGGATATAAGTGCCGTCAACCTTCGTTATTATTGAAATTGTGGAACCAAGCTGTTTTGCTGGTATCTGTAATTTATTATCGTTTGAAATCCGTTTTACGGCCAATGTTACTAAAAACAGTATGATATTAATGGGAGTAGATACACAGTATAAACGGGAACAGAATATATTACTCTATTTCTTATTAAGTTATCCTATTAATCCTAATTTTTATAATCTCAATCATATTATAATGATAATGTATTCCAAACATCAAATTGATTATTCCCTTTAAATAAACTAGAAATGATGAAATCCTTATTATTATTTTAGAATTATTTAAATTACTTAATATTGTATTCAAGCCAATACATTTTTTTCTTTGTAGATATATATTATTGTAATTTGATTAAGTTCACTTGAATATCAATTTTAATTGTTTTCTAATATAAAAATTATAATATTTGTTCAAAAGTGAACATATCAAATTTTTTGGCTATCTTTACTTTTAACTTTTGTAAGAATCCGGAATAGATACATTATTAATGTGATAGCGAGATAAATATCTAAAAATAACAAACAATATAATTTATTTAATAGTAAAGACTTAATAGAGCTTATTAATATATGAAAGCAGGCTAATAAATAATATAATAAATTTTTATTTGTACTTTGCTGTAATGAAAAATAAGTTCTCATAATTTTTATCCATTTCAAAACATGATATTATAATATATATGTAAACAAATAAAGAATTTGATGTTTGAAATTGATGTATCTTAATAATTTAATCATCCTATTACAGTAGCAATCAAAAGTATCCGACCCCCTGTAACTTTTTAAATTGAAGATTAATTGTCTTGAGATTTTCAGCATAGATAATATAATATAAATCTAGATCCTATGAGTTTTTTAATATGTTTTAATTATTATAACAAAATTTAAATGAGAGCTGAATTTTAAAATCAATTTTTTACATTAATAAAAAATATCAATCAAATGCAATAAAAAATAATTATGTTAATAATTTTTAAATTAAAATTTATTAAAATTTAATATATTAAATTTAAGCATTTTTATATTAGTAACAAAAAATTTGACATAATTTAATAAGAAAGATATTGAGAAATTAAAATTAAAATTTATTAAATTTTATTATATTTGTATATAAAAAAATAATTTAATGCCAAAATTTAAAATTTAATTTTCATAACTGGTTTATTAAATAATATAAATTTTTGTTATTACATATAATATAAATATATAAATTTTAATACAGTGATTTTAATTATTTTAAAAAATTTAGACCAAAAAATTTTTAGTATAAAAAGTTATAGGGATCAGCTACTTTTAATCACTACTGTACAACTTATGTTGACTTAGTATGAAATTTAGCAAAAAAGAGTAATATCATTATATTATTTATATAAATAAAACTAAATTTGAAAATTTCAAGTTATTTAATTTTAAATGTACAAATATTTAAGTGTGTAAAATACTTTTATTCTTAAAGTTAATTTTAATATAATCAATAATTCAATTAAAAAAATTCATTATGCTATAATATGTATTATTTCAAAATATTTCTTTAAATAATTAAGATAAATGTGATAATTGATTGGATTCAAGCTCAAATACAAAATGCTAGAAACAAAAATCTTAGATAATAGACAAAATAATAAGTGCTCTTAGAAGTATTTATATAAATTGAGTAAATTTGAATATATTCAAAAATTTTGCTTGGATTTAATCCAAATAACAATTCTATATCGAACAGTTAGTTAATAAATAATTGTCAAATTCCATAAATAATATTTTTTATATTTTATTAGTCTATAGTTGTTTTAGTCAATTGCTAAATTTATTAAAAAATAATAATTCATATATACAATATCCATTAGATATTAAGATTATTATCATCAAATGAAATTTCATAATTAATTCTACACCTTTCATGTAAAAATAAAACTAACTAATGCAAATACTATCAAAAGTTTGATAATTTAGTTCTTCAGTTTAATTTAGCATAAAATGCAAATATCGAGAATTTGGTATGAAATTTTTTATCTAAATGTTTGTAATGGAATTTAAATCATTAGAATTACAAGCCATGGAAATCGTATAGTAAATAAACATATTTTTAAGACCATAATTAATGTTATTGTCTTCAATCTGTATATAAATTACATAACATCACATAATGTACATTTCCCCGACATAAATTAATCTGCTAATAGTCAAATTATTAATAAAATATAGTTAAAAAAATCTAATTACCTATCTATATTGAAGTTTATAACTTTTATTAATAAATAATTTTTATTTATCTCATAACCTATATTTTAATATATTTTTTGTAAATTTGCTTTGATAAAATACCTCAATTGTAAAGTGATTGTAAAATTTTTTCATATTTAAAATATAGAAACATAAATATAAGATAAAATTAAATTACAAAAAAATATACATGTATATTAAAATATAGGTTATATGGAGAGATTTTTTCGATTTTACTAATAAATTTGACTATTGGCAGGTAATTATGTCACATGTTATCTGTTATCTATTACACGACACGTATCAGTATAAATGATTAGACACACAATTACTATTTTTATTATTAGCATACAAGCTTGACGGACCGAGAAAACAATGGAACATAGATATGTACATGTATTACAATGGTTTCTCTGTAGATTATACATTAATTTCAAATTTGTTTATGGCGAAAATTCATTATGCAGAAACCTTATGCTGTTAAATTTCTAAAAATGTTTGTTAATTATTGGGTGTTTTTAACACTTTTTCTATAGACTCGTTCAATTATGATCTTTTTCTATTAGACAAAACGCCCACTCAATTGAGAGATGTATCTTTATGTATACAATTTGAGTAAACAAAAGAAGCCTGGTACAGGAAATATTTAGACGTCCGTAAATTTGCTGATGATAAGATAGATAACTGTCCACATATGTATATTATACTAGATTAAATAACAATAATATTTCAAGGATTAATTCATGACATCCTTAATTTCCATTGTCAAAAATTATCATAAAGTTACACAATGAAAAAATGAGATAACTGGGACGCATGAATGAAGACAAACTTTGACATAACATATACATCTTTATTTGTGATTTTAGAGAATACTCGCTCGAGCGGAATATATAAGTAAGTACCAACCGCTGGAGCGGAGCCTATAAGCAAGTACAGACCGCTGGAGCGGAATTTTATGAACATGTACAAAATTTCGCTGAAGAACTATAAAGATAACGTCCCAACCGTTATGAGATCAAAAAAATTTATCGATCCTATAAAAATTAAATTCAGCATAATTTACATCACTTTTTTAGTATAATGTTTACTCATCCACAAAATATCACTATAACTCCTCAAGAAATGGCTGATGAAAGACTTAAGAACAAATTAAAGAATACAAAAAATAAATCTTGCAGAAGAGCAATACATGCTTTTGACGTATACCAATTTGCAATAAAAAAGGATAATAAAAACAGATCTGGAAAACTTCCTAGTAGAAAATTTTTCAGTAAAAGCGGTGAACTTTGGAAAAAAGAGTCTGAGTCTATTAAAAATCATTGTAAAATGATAGCGCAAAAAGCACAGGCGATCTTGGAAAGATCTTTTAAAGATTCATATCGTGAGCTGAACTCAAGTCATCAAACCGAAAATATCAATTACGGCCTAACTTCTCTGGGCCAGATTGATTCATTAAATTACACGTGTGTAAATACGGATGAACATCAATCTAACGTGTCGGTTTATCTTAACGATAATTTGGCCTTAAGTCAGCTCCAACCTGATGTTACTGTTTCCCTTTACCGACCAGAACGTAATTTAGCCTCCAATCAGCTTCATTCTAATGCTTCGGGTTCCCTTTATCAACCAGAATGCAATTTAACCTTTAATCAGCTTCAATCTAATGTTTCAGATTTTATTTACCAACCAGAATCCAATTCAACCTTTAATCAGCTTCAATCCGATGTTTCGGCTTTCCTTTACCAATCAGAATGCAATTTAATCTTTAATCAGCTTCAACCCAATGCTTCAGCTTCCCTTTACCAACCAGAATGCAATTCAACCTTTAGTCATCTTCAATCTAATGCTTCAGCTTCTCTTTATCAACCAGAATTCAATTTAACCTTTAATCAGCTTCAACCTAATGCTTCGGCCTTCCTTTACCAAACAGAATGCAATTTAACCTTTAATCAGCTTCAATCTAATGCTTCAGCTTCTTTACGAGCAAACAGAAATTTCTTTCATTTGTATGCTAGGAATGTATGTGTAATAACAAATCTATGAAATTTATCCGATCCATTTGGATAATATCATTCAGCTAACGTTAATTGATTTTTATTTATCTCTATTTTTGTTTTATTATTTAGAGTGCCATGATTCCATTCAACTTCGGTGAGCAAAACAAGATTTAAAATAGCGTTGTGAAATAAAAATTATCAATAGTATTACTTTTATTAAAAAATAACTATATTTATTTATTTGCACCCATAATTTATTTTTACATTTTGTTTATTGTATATTTTGTATATTTATACATGTAAAAAATCTTTTATTTTTTTCAATAAAATTTTTTTATATATTGTTATATAAAAAGCAAAAAAACATAAATCTTAACTTTTAAAGTAGCGAAAGTGCCTTGTCGACAAAATATGTATATTGCGGACCAGTGTTTGTAACAATAATTGTACTTAAACAAATTTAGTTATCTTTGCAAGAAATTTTGTTTTTTGCAATTAATTTTCTATCTAATACAAAGAGCTTCTTTGTTTCAAGGTCATTTTGTTATACAAAGATACTCTCGATATAACTATCTCTACGATATAATAAATTCTATAACGAAAGTTTCTTATAATACTAAAGCTCTCAATATATTGAAATTATTATGTATAAGCAATGTACTATGTATATATATCTAGTATCATATAAAAATTTATGATCTAAAGATTTTTAAGGGAGCTTGATCAACCCGGCAAAACAAATCCTGAAAAATGAATAATACAAGAAAACACGTTCATATTTGATTCTTTTAAAAATTGATAAGTAGCTTAGAGATTTTGAATAAGATAATCATATATTTTTCATTGCAAATATGGGGAAATTATACTTCTCTTATTCAGACCTTTTGGATATCGCATAATTGAAATGAGAAAATATATCTTTATCAGGTAATTTTTACATTTTTGAAATTAATTCATTAACAGCTTCATTGATAGATGGTTCCTCATTTAATTGTTGATTTTTTCGATGGTTTTCAAGATGTGTTTTATTTAAATTTTTTAATTGGTATCGCGCCGTTTATATGATTTATAAATACCCATGATTCTTTTCGATATAATTTAGTTAAATGCATTCTTTAAAACTAAATACAAGTATTCTGAAATCAAAATTTGTACTAATCAATATTAATTTCCGAAGAACAAAATTATGGAGCCAAATTTGATTTTAACGTTAATACCAATCGATTCTTATTCGATTACGAGATTTTTTATGGGAAAATCACCAACCTCGTTATTATTTCGATTACGAACATACGACAAAAAAATCAATAATAAATTTTTATAGTTTTGATTTACATAGTATATCGCACTCCTCAATGTTGCAAACACAGCAAAAATTTACTAGATTACACGAAAAACGGAGAATAGCTGGGAAAATATTATGGATAAATTAAAGAAATTTTTGCAGGAACTGAAGTAAATATTATTTATGAAAATGTTGGAAGGGAAAGAGATATGAAAAACCAAGAGTCTTACGATAAACCACGAGTAGCGATTCATAATAGACATACAATTATGGCTTTAGAACCCTAACCATGAACGGGTGCGCGTGAATTTTTAAGGTGTAGTCCAATCAACTCAAACGTTAATTTTTCGAAAAATTCGCATTATCTCAAAATCTTATCCATGAAAATACAGTACTTTCTGCGTAATATTTCGTACAAAGGCAACCCCGTTATACCGAAGTGGTCGGCGCTATTATTAAAAATTCTACCCGAGGTTTCATTAGTAAATTCGGTTTAACGGGTTAGATTTACTATAACTGATCCTGGTGCCATCTTCGGTTGTAATCAGTGCTTCGGTTAAACAGGGTTCGTTATAACGGGGTTGCCTTTGTATTGTTCATGCGAATTTATTGGTTTAACCTTAAAATCACGTGCATCGTTCATTTTCAAGGGTACTGTCACAATTAGTGCGTTTGTGGTAGAAGGGGATTTTACTGTTGCAAGGTTTTGGAAAGAGTAATTAGATTAATAAATATGCCAGTTTAATTCTAAATCCTGTGCTGATATCGTTCAACGTGTGTGGTCTAAGGGGAAGAATGTAAGTGAATATGATGATTTGTGTATGGGAGTTGGGAATTTCGGAATTATTTGAGGATGAGAATTATAGAAGGATTTAGGATTTATTTGGTAAATTATTTTGGAGGAGAGATTGCGTTTTATAAAGCTATTTCTATGCTAATTCTAAAAACGCTTTTCCTAGCTAAAAGCCTTAAATTAAAATCAATCAATCAGCTGACGCGTTGCCTTCTCTGGTTAAAAAATCAACCAATACGATTACTATATTATTTGGCGAAAAACTATACGCAAATTTTATCTCTAATTTTAATGGCTTAAGAGCCGTTCTTTTTTATACATTTGTTAAATATCGATTGAAATGGAAATGCTAATTACGCTATATAATTGATTATATTGTATTATCGATGTTATGTTCTAAACGTTACAACAAAAGAATATGACGAATAAAGATTATACAGTGGCGCTCAAAAGTATTGCATCACCCGGACGATAAATTTCACGATTTAATAACATTTCATATACAATATC